CCCTCGGGAAGGGATCAGGGATGGGGGAGGACGGGAGCATCCACGGGAAACGTCTGAGCCCTGAGCAGGGGCTTCCTCCTCCCTCCTCCAGTCTGTTCTCCAGCCAGAGCAAAACTGTTCCCTACAGTGGATTTTCTTCCACATTTTCAGCCTTTTCTTCAAAGGCAGCACAAGTTTTCTTTTGTCTCTTTGCTTTCTACGTGCAGCAGCGTTGCCGATTTCCATCTCGCAGCTGTGGCTGACCCTTGCTGACTACGCTGACAGCCCCTAAACATCTGTGGCTGCAAAGCTATGGGAGAGCCTTTCTTCTTTCTGTTAGAAAATTAAAACAACTCTTCTGGCGTCCTGAAAGACACCGAATTCGGCTTTGGTGTTGGATGGACAGGGAACAGTGATGGCTCTGCCTGCCTTTAAGGAGTCAGGGCACTCGTTTCAACTCCAGTGACATTTCTTCTCCTGCAGGTGATCATTTAACCATTAAAAAACACAATTAGATCATTTAGAAGGGAGGAAAGGAAAGGAAAGGAAAGAGGAAAGGGAAGGGAAGGGAAGGGAAGGGAAGGAAGGCAAGGCAAGGCAAGGCAAGGCAAGGCAAGGCAAGGCAAGGCAAGGCAAGGCAAGGCAAGGCAAGGCAAGGCAAGGCAAGGCAAGGCAAGGAAAGGCAAGGCAAGGAAAGGCAAGGAAAGGAAAGGAAAGGAAAGGAAAGGAAAGGAAAGGAAAGGAAAGGAAAGGAAAGGAAAGGAAAAAGTTTTTTAGAGATCTGATGAGCAGAGTGCCTGAGCAAAGCTCCAGGGTACCTCAGCAGAATGGGGGCTTTACCCTGCAAACATCTTCAGCCTGAAGCTTCCATCACTCCACTGAAATCAAAAACCAGGGGCAGAAGCCAGATCCAGAGAGCAGACAGGTTTTCTGCTCAGCAAATTTCCTTTTTCACATGTTTATCATTTTGTATCACGATGAGAGCAATCTGAGCAGCAAACAGGCACCGACCCCAAAGCCCGAAGACCCCGGGGTGTGGGAGACCCCGACATCCACCAGCGTTTCCCGTCCTCCTGAGGACTCCCTTCAGCAGTGCGCTGTGCTCTTCCATGTTGTATGTAAAAAAGTCTCTCTTCATTGAATGTTGCTGTCATAACTGGTCCAGGCTGACCATTCATTTTTGACAAATCAGTGTTTTCTAGTGGAAAACAAAATCTAATTCTTGATCGGTTCTGCTAGAAAGAAGGGCTCAGGCGGTGGAGAGGAGGCTGGAGGACAGTCATGCAACCAGCAGCCCTTGGTGGGTGGTGGGTTCAAAAGCCTGATCACTCCTGTGGCAGGGAAGAGCCTAGGTCGTACAATTCCCCATTGCTGGAGCAACAGGGGATGGAGCCACAAAAGCCTGATCACTCCTGTGGCAGGGAAAAGCCTAGGTCGTACAATTCCCCATTGCCGGAGCAACAGGGGATGGAGCCGGCACGAGCCCACGGTCAGTGTCCCAGGGCAGGATGGAGGAGCAAGGTTGGAGAATCCAGGTACAGGGCCAGTGTGCTCCCCTCCTCCGGAGGAAGCAGGAGACCTAATTCATCAGCACAGTTTGGGGTTTTTTTTAACAGTTCAAAATCCACATGCTTTTATTTTTTTTGCTTTAAAGGGAAAAAAAACCTCAAAGTCTAATAAGTGAAATGAATGCAACTGCAGGCACCCTGGGAATAGCGCAGGAGCCTTGTTTACAGGGAGTTCCACATGAATCCCATCAAGCAATACAAATATTGTAAGTAGGATGTGGCCTTTGTTTGGGTCTGATGCGGGCTCTTTTCTCCATGGAGCGGGATTACCACTCTGCTGCTAATTAGGCAAAAGGGAAGGGGATCCAAAGAGCCCCTAAAGATGTCAAAAATCACAAGAAAAGTCATTGAAGGGAGGGAGAAATTAGAATGAACCAACGTTGGTGTTTCAGCAACGCACGGGTCCCCTGGGGCTGTGGCCAGGAGCTTCGCCTGGGCCTCTTCCAGCTCCTTCTGCACCACTGGCGGGGTGACCTGGGTTTTCATTTCACTTGTTTGTTTGATTTCATGCAACTCCATTTCAAACAAGCGGATTTCCAAGTCTGACGTGTTTGGTTTCCAGCATGGGCTCCAAAGCGTCCCTAGCTCTGAATTTTCAAATTAAAGCCCTCTCTAAAACAAGAAGTGGTTTGGGTTCAGGTTTTAGGGAAGCTGCAGGACCTCACCCTGCTGATTTCTCTTTTTTTCGTTTCATCTGGATAAATGAGAGCGTGTGTGCAAAACTAGTTTCAGACTGCAGCCCTGCACTTGCCTAATCTTACGCTGCGATAAATCTTACGCTGAGCCGCTGAAATGCCAGATAAAAGACTTCTAAAAGCAGCAGGGATAAATATGGTAGGTATTTTTGTTCACATTTCCAGAGCAGGAGAACTGTTGTTATCAGAAATAACACAATGTCTGTATGCTGCTTTCTCCATGAGCTCTTGCTCACATACACTCGGGTGCTGGAAAGCAGAAAGGTTTATTATTCATACACAGATGTTTCCAATTGTTTTCCAAAGAACAGTTCTCTCATTCATGCTTAATTTGTGAAACTCCTGTTTAGTTCCCCCACATCTTTTTTTATGATTTTTAATAGTCATACCAGCAGCAATAATTGTAAGCTCTGGGCCTATTTTGCACTGATGCAAACCACCACTTAATACTCTGAGACTATTAATGTTAGTGCAGTTAAGCACTGGTCAGTCCTGTAAGAGCATATGGCCTTTTTTTTGGCGACCAGAGACATCCAACCTTGAGCCCTTTCCATCCCTTTCGAAGCCTGTGCTGTGCACCCCGGTCCTGGTTTACATCCCGTATCCCAACATGCCACCATCCCTGGCCCTACCACCTTGTGCCACCAGCTTGGCTTTGATTTGCCTCCATCCTCAGTTGTGATGTAGAGCTCAAAATGGACTCTGTAGCTCCTCAAGACTTAGAAACTGGGTAGGAAGGAGATAGCCTTCGTTCAGCACCGATTCCCATGACTTGAGATGGAAACAAGGAGAGAAACCTCACTGGTTGGAGCAAGGAACTGGACAAAAGCCAGGTTTCTGGTGATGCCTGAATTAATCCGTCTGTCTTGCTTGCTACAGCTTGGTAGTGAAAGAGTAAATGCTAGCGAACGTGTGGGGTGATTCACTGGTAAAACTCTTTGAGATCTGCAGATGAAAGTTGCTGTGGGAGGAGGACAGAGGCAGCTCTGCTCTCAGCTGCCCCTGGGCATGCATGAAGTACAGAAGAGGAAGGCGATGGAAAGCGTGGCCGTGGGCCTGGTTGTGCTTCTCTGACTTTGCTGCTGTGTGGGAAATGAAAGGCATCCTTTGTCCCTTCATCTCAACAGGAGTACCCTTTCTAAGGCCCTCTCCTCAGTTGCCAAAAACTTCAAACCTTAGCAGATCTGGGATGTTTGGCAGTGTTTTCTTTTGTGCTTGCGGGAGGAGGGAAGGCTTTTTGACACCTAAATAGCGATTCAGCGTCCAGGCCATCGGGAGGGGAGAAGCTGAAGCGTGTGGTCTCCTTAACGCCCTCCTCTCACCTGGTTCGAGCACGTCAGCATGCTGGTCATCCTCCTGAACTGCGTCACCCTGGGCATGTTCCAGCCCTGCGAGGACGTGGAGTGCCAGTCGGAGCGGTGCACCATCCTGGAGGTAAGGATCCCTTGCTGCCCCGCTTGCCTGGGACATGGGGGGTGATGCGGGGTGGCCATCCTGGGAGCTGGGAGCCCCATCTTGTCCCTTTTCCCCAGGATCCAGCCGTAAAAGCCCTTCCAGTAGGGATGGTTTTTCCAATGCAGACTCTGTCCTCCAAGGAGACCTGCTGCCGTGGCCCTAGGTGAGACCCAAAGGCTGACAGATTTGGACTTAGCCCAGCAAGATCCTCTCTCTAAACAAGCAGTAAGAGTAGGGGTGCTCAAAACTGGGCATCCAGCTCCCATTGGAAGTGTTGAACACTTTTTAGTTACAGGATGGCCAGTGCTGCAGGGAATCTCTTGCTCACAGTCGGTTCCACTCCAGCCAGCTCACTGCATCTCTTGGATTGCTGCAGTCTGATCTGTGCAGGACAGCACCGGTGCCTTTGCCATTTCATTCCCTTCTTCATGAACAAAAAAGCACGGGACGAGCCCACACCAGCTCTCCTCCGCAGCAGAGCCGACCAGCTGAAGTGCTGCTTTGCCAAGTGCCAGGATAACTGACCTTTGGGGAATGCGTACGCGTACAAAGCTCACAGCCCCTTGTTGGCCACCCCAAGCTTAGCGGGGCGTCAAGACTCCACAGCCTCCCTGGGCAGCCTGGGCCAGGGCTCTGTCACCCTCAGAGGGAAGAAGTTCTTCCTCGGGTTCAGCTGGAGCTTCCTCTGCTTCAGTTTGTGCCCGTTGCCCCTTGTCCTGTCGCTGGGCACCACTGGAAAGAGTCTGGCCCCGTCCTCCTGACACCCACCCTGCAGATATTTAGAGGCATTTCTAAGGTCCCCTCTCAGCCTTCTCTTCTCCAGGCTGGACAAGCCCAGCTCCCTCAGCCTTTCCTCCTAGGAGAGATGCTCCAGTCCCCTCCTCATCCTTGTAGCCCTCCACTGGACTCTCTCCAGTAGCTCCTCATCTTTCTTGAACTGGGGAGCCCAGAACTGGAACTGGGGAACCTAGAACTGCACGCTTGTCGCTGCATCCCTCGCTGCGTCCTGGCAATCCCCTCACTGCCATATGCCTGCGGGATTCGTTTTGGAAGCACATCCCGGCAGCATCTGGTGTGTGGGCTGCACCTTGGCGCTGGGCTTCCTGCAGCAACTCAGTTCTCGGGCTTGGAACCCACTTGCCTTGTTTCTGATGCATTACATCAACCCAGGCAGGGACTACCGATGTGTGGTGGTGTAACGAGCCTGGTTCGTTCAAATCCTGCACAGATCTGCTGCTTTACTTCCCTTTGAGTATCTCAGTTGTACGGGAAGGCCAGTGGGATCCTTCCAACCACCTTCTCCTGCCTCTTTCAAAGATCAGTCCAGAACTGCCTGCAACTGCCAGGAACAGCAGGGTTTATCATCAAACCCTCTTTCAGCCTTAGAAGATGACCTGTTAAATACAGAGCCAGGTAAACCAGATGAATTGAGAAGCCGCTAGAGGTTTGTAATGCAATGAGGTCAGTTTTGGAGAAGCTGTTGCCACCAGAGGCACCCAGCATAGGGACCGTCGCAGAGGGTCAGGCTCAGGGTTGGTGTGAAGCAGCATCCAGAGGTGGGCTGTCCATCTCCTTCACCAGAGCACGTCTCACCGCAGGCGGCTGTGGGCTAAGCTGCTCCCAGAGAGCTCATCGGAAAGTGTCCGATCTCTCCTGAAAGGTCACACTCCACGTCCCTGATGTTTTTCTGCGTGTATTCACCCACGTGGGACTTTGTTTGGACAATGCCCATCCCTGCCAAAATGTCCAGGCAGATAAAGGGAATCCTGCCTGGACAAGGAGGTGGCATTGTTTGCTTCCTTTTTTTCATCATTTAATCAGGTTGCAGTCTTACGGCTTGCCTGGTCTGTCCTCCCCGGGATAGACACACATACGGTCTGCGAGGAGCCCAGGCACTGGGTTGGGTTTCTAATACCAGCTGAACGATTACAACATATTGAGTATATTTGCCAAAACCAAAGTGTTATCCTGAAGGGTTTGCAGGCAGAAGAGGGCTCTGAGTAAAGCCATCATTATCCCTCACCCTGTCACAGCTTGCAGGAGGGAATGGAAGTCAGAATATGAGGTAGAAAAGCCTGAACTTCTTTATGGAGGTGTTTGGATGCCAGTTATTAAATGAACCGAAATAATAGAGCAAAACTTCTGTGTGGTTTATCAAGGGAAAGATTGGTTGCTAAAGCCAACAGCCAGAGAAGATGGTGCTCACACACAGCCATGCAGAGGTACATGGATGCACAGAGGGGACTTGGCTTCATGTGGAAGCTTTGTTAATTTTACTGTTAATCCACTCAGGCCTCAATATGGAAGTGCCAGAGACACAATACCAAACAGTATGGTCGTTAAGAGAGTGGTCTGGACAGCAGCAGTCGTGTCTGTAGATCGAGAAGTTCCTGTGCTTTATCCAGTCTGACATTCAAAACAACAAAGCCTCTGCACGTGGTTTAAAAGCAATCTGTATCTCCTGATGTTCAAGTTTACAGGCATCATGTAGAAGAGTATTTACAAAAGTCCATTTCATGGTATCTTCAAGTACGCCCACATACCTCTAGTCCCCAGGAAGGCTGGAGAAATCACAGCTGTCCAAGTCCCCACTACCCTACAGAATCATTCTCTAAGTAAAGGCTGAGGCACGTTCTGTAGGGCAGGACTGGATTAATTTGCACACCTTTATTTTCTCTTCTCACTTTCACAGTAATCTAAACCCCAACATTTTGACCTTCATCAAGAGGCTCCGGCGCTTGGGCACACAGGCTTGCCAGCGGGATGCCCCGAACCTCTGCACCCCGAGGAACCGCTCCGGGCATTCCTCATGTGCAGCAGAACTGCCCTTATAGTTACTGCTTCAGCCTCTGGTTCATGTGCATGTTCACTGCTGGCTGTGTCTGGGTCTGTGAGTAGGAACCTGGTCCCTTCACGAGTCCGTGAAGGCATCAGAGGTGAAGCACGTCCCTCTCTGTTAGATGGGACAAATTCTTTCTAGGAGGTGTGAGCTGCGCAGTCTGGAAACACAGCTTCCACTGCAAGTTGCTGAGACCTCGTGGACCCATCCACAAGCTGCTGTTGAATGCAGAGGCTTTAAATGCCAAGAAACATATCCAGCCTACACAACAGTGATGTCCTTGTGTCTTTGCCAGCAATAGAGGCTGCTGATGCTTCCCAGGCAGTGGGCTGACCCAGGAGCTATGCTCAGGGGTCGCAATCACCCATCGGGTGCTGCAGGTTTCATTTCTGAGCGCGGTAGCGGGCACTTTGGTATCGGTGCTTTGCCTTGCAGCGTCTGTCAGGGCATACAGAGTGCCTCTGTGGTGGGAGCACTCGTGTCTCTTCTTTCCCTTTCCCGGATAAGAAAGCACAGCAGAACTGACTGTAATAATCTTTTACTGGTCTCCAGGCATTTGACGACTTCATTTTCGCTTTCTTTGCGGTGGAGATGGTCATCAAGATGGTGGCTCTGGGGATCTTCGGGCAGAAGTGTTACCTTGGAGATACGTGGAATCGCCTGGACTTCTTCATCGTGATGGCGGGGTCAGTAACAAAACCTCATAAATTTTTTCTTTGCAGTGAAAGCAAGAAAACCCCAGAGAGCCAAATCTGTAGGCTGTCCTGGCTGGTTTTCATAGCACCTTGTGAAAGCTGCCAGGCTCAAGCTAAGGAAAAGTCTCAGAAGTGTCGTTTGGTTTCACCTCTGGCAACCACGCCGGATTATGGCATGGGGTATGAACGTCAGGGCAATGTCGGGTTTTCAGTAGCAATCCTTTCACCGGTGTCATCTCTGTCAAATCAAGCGCACGCTGATCTAGTCCTTGCAATGGCCAATATGTCCCAGTGCTCGCGGTGAAGACTGCTGTTTCCAGAACGGGTGGAAAAAGCACACAGCAGCTCAGCCCCGCTCCTGCTGTGTGGCACCTTTAGAGTGAGGCAGAGAGGCAGAAATTGGCAAAACAAGGAAAATCTAGCCCAAAAATATGGTTTAGAAGGTTGAAATCCTGGTAGAAGAAGCTGGCCAGAGGTTGACCCAAATTACAAGTGCATGCAAATGCCTCCTGTAAACTTCTCTCGGTTTACTTTTTCATACCGTCTCCCACCGCTGCTTATTTGTGCAGGATGTGTTAATAAACAGATAGAAGGAAGATCGGTGTGCTTTTGACACCAGTTCCCTCACACCCATGGGGAAAAACTGAGTGGACTAAAAGCTTGGCAAGTCTAAAACTTCTTTCTGTAAAGAAATGGATTTTAGAAACCCCAGGCTCTCTTACCTGCGTCGTATACCCTAGAAAGGGATAGACTGCTTTAATTACAGAGCTCTGCCTTATTTCTGAATCCGTGGGTTTATAATGACCAGCCTGGGGTTAATTAGAACATTCCTGTAATGTTGGGGCATTTCCACCCTTACATTAGTGATGTACAATCTTCACTGCACTAATGGAGTTTTGTTTTGCTCCATGTTATTTGTCTGGAACACAATTAGGAATGGCCTTACTGGTTTGAATAAAACATGAGCTCTCCTGAGCAGAGCTTCCTTTGAACCCGTGTGTGGTTACAGCCCAGGAAAGAACAGCAGAACAACAAAAGAAGCAGTGTATAATTTTTTCTTTCCAAAGCTGCCGCGGCGTTTAAGCCAGAAGTAGTAGGGGAAGAGCAAGGCTGTGGTTACAGGGGGAACTCGGGATCAGAAATTCGCCGTCTGTAACCGACGTGCTGACAGCGTTTCCCCATGCTGAACCTGCAGGATGAGCTCTCCTGATGGGCGAGCAGAGGTTCCCCACATCATCAGACAGATCATCCCGGCGAAGCGGGAGAATAAAACAGCACGTACAGGCAGAAAGGCTGAGCCTTCTGCTCGTACCTCAGAGCCAGGTTTGGCACCAGGATCTTTGGTCATGTAGCACCTGGGACGAGGGGGAAGGTGGCTGGTGAGTCAGTCTGGTAGTTTTCCAGGACATTTCCCCACCCTCTGTGGGTGGCATATGTTTGAGAAGAATGAAAACAGCAGAAGCACCAGGAGAGCCCAACGGGAAGCCCTGCTGCCAGTCTGGCATTACTCAGGCTGAAGATGAGAAGAGGAACGGCCCCTGCTCTAGCTGATCCTGGGCCATCTCCAGATGATTTTGGTGTATTCGAGCCATACCTGACATTATTTCCCGTCTCTCAGAAGAGCGGCTGGGGCGGGCGCGGGTTTTTTTTTGCCTGTGGACAGCAGGGAGAAGCCATGCGATGGGCTAGGGTTCTTCACCTCTCCCACCTCTCCCACCACAACCTTTTGATCCAGTGTCTGCGCCTAAAACTGGAGGTGGTTTAACAGGGAGCACGCTGCTGGAATAACAAGAGTTGTTTTTTCCAGCAAGAGGATGGATGTGATGAAGTTACTATGAGGCTTTTTTTTATAAGAAAGGGAACAAGTGATAGGCAACGCTGCCTGCTTCTTTGCCCCATTCGGTCTCCACAGATAAGCTGATTTGGCTTACTAATAAGTGTACCAAAGAGAGCGGAGGGTGAGCAGGGAAACTACAAAATAAACATGTCTTCTGCCTCTAGCAACAGATTGTGTCTGAAGTTTGTTCCAGCACTGAAAGCCCTTTCATGTTTTGCTCGCCTGAGAAATGTACCCTGGAAAATTTCAGCCCGAATGGAGCTTACGTCCTTTCAGTCTACCCAGCAGCCAAGTTGAAAGCGTTCCCCAAGCGTCAGAGATGTTGTCCACCAGAGCTGAAACCAGAGAGCTTTCTTGTGCATCCAGTCCCTGGAGATGTTGCAGGCTCATATGGTCTGCTTTGGACATCTTGAACTTGACAACTGAAGGACTGTTCATGGTAGAAGACATTGCAAAGGCCTGTGCCTCCTTTTCTTCAGTGCCCAGAGGCTGTGGGGAATCTCCGACCAAGTGCCAGTCCACCCAGACCGTCGGTCCCTACATACCCGAAATTCTCAGCTTCAGCAGGTTTCTGCCAGGCGTTTCCAGGGTATTCTTGGTTTACAGGTGTGATGTGAGAACAGGACCCCAAGCCTGGCCTTGACAAAGAAACTTTTGACTTTTTCATGAAGGTTTCAAATGTTTTCCACTGCTTGTAGAAGGCCCAATCTGGAATCCATCAAGTGTTTCAGGTTGGGTTCAGTGGGCAGTGTAGATCCCCCTGAGACTTACTTTCAAATCCTAAAGGGAGTACCACGGAAGTCCAAAGTATCAGGGTCAGAAAGTCTGTTTCCTAGGCCAAATCCTGGATTATTCATCTTTTATCAGCCCCGTTGAATCTCCAAGGGCCAAGTAAAAGTGAGGCCCCAGGAGTTGGCCCTTTAACACGCTGGCAGTTGCGTATGCTCTCCGGAGTACAAAACGAGCTCCCGCTGGAGCATTTCATACTCCTTTTACATGCTATTAGTAGTTCAAAAACTGTATCAGTTACACGAAAATCCACTTACTCAGCCACCCGATAAATTGTGAGTGTGCTGTATTGGGACCACGCCAGCGAACAGATTCAGGCTTCGGCGCTGTTTGCTTCGGGGACTTTAAACAATGCTGTGTCTATTCCTGCAAGGTCTGCTCAGAGCAGGCACCTGGTGCTGGCTCCAGGCCCCTCGACGCAGGTGTGAACGGGCATTTCCGATGGTTTTCCCCACTGTGTGGTCCTCCGGGCAGCTCTGGGCTGCTTCCCGCTGCTCTGCTTCGGCTGCTTAATGAACACACGTTAGATTTAAAACCTGTTTTCGTGCCGTGCTGAGTTTTGAAGCTATTCATCATGTTCAGCTCAGTTCCTACGTACTAGCTTTAAGGTGGTTTTGATTTATAAAGACTCACTAACTACTTAAAAAAAAAAATATATATGTGTATATATATATATACCTCTGGCATTTTATCACTAAAACCAGCTCAAAATCACCAGGACCTCTGCACAGCAAATGAAGGTTAACAGGCCAAAGTCACCTCAATGCAATGCCTGCGGTATCGTGGCGTTACACCAAACGGCTTCAGGACAAAGAGCAAAGAGAAGCAAACATCAGAACATCGAGTTATTGCCAATTAAACTTTGTAGAGCAGGGCAAGGCATCAAATAGGACGTGCAAGGCTCCGGCAGAGCAGAGCCCAGGCACACGGGCAGTGATGCTCCTGAGCAAGGCTGGCCCAAAACCAAACCTCCTTCTGCTGTCGCCTGAAATCCATTCAGCTGTTGCTTCAGTCCATTCGGCTGTTGCTTCTTGATGGCACATAACGATTTTGGTCCAGCCTGGCTGCAGGATGCTGCAGCTGAAAATCTTTCTTTCCACTGAAGCTTCTGAAGCGCCAGGCTGCAGCAGTTCAGCTCCTATTTCCCTTCCTCCTTCCATATCTGTTTGTTTGTTTTAAAAAAAACCAAAACAAAACCTCTTTCTCCGTGGGATCCAGCAGCTTGCTCGCAGGGTTGCTTTTGATGCTGTTATGTTATTTGAACAGGCGTGGTGAGAGATTTGTGACATATTTACAAGTGCTTCCCTGTAGTCAAACTCATAAATTGTAATTACAGCCATGCTAACTAGCCATAACCCCATTAAAAAAACAACACTACACACATTTGCCACTCATTGCTATAAAAGAGCAAGAAAACCGACTTAACATCCTTCCCAGCCCAGGAGAGAAATGTTTATGTGAAATGGAGACGGAGCATGAAAAAGAAAACGTTCCCTATTCTTAATAACAAAATGGAAACCAAACTACTTGAACGTCACTTGTTGGCTTGGTTATTCACATTTTTGTCGCAGGGGGAGAGATAAACTGGCGTGAAACTATGCTTGGGTGCTAGCAGGGGGTGTAATAGCAGAGACATGGTATTGACTTTGAGCTGCGTGGAGCTGCGCAGTGATCTCCCCGGGAAGGTGCGCCGCGGGCCGGAGAGCAGTTAGCTGGCGGCAGGGGAGAGCAGCGCGGCTGCGGGAGCTGAGCGGATAGCTGGGGGCTCCCCAACTGCTGTGGCTCTGTCTTTGCAGCTCCTTGTCATGCCAAGTCCTGCCTGCAGCCTGGGAGCCCATCTGCCTGCCGGCCCCTGCGCCATCGCTGCTCCTGTGGGTATTTTCAGTCTCTTAGAGGGTGAAACATCCCTTATATCGCCCATTGACAGCATGACGCACACGACGAGCTGCAAATGAGCATCCCGCATCCTGACGCCTCTCCTTTTCCCCCCGCAGCATGATGGAGTATTCTCTGGACGGACACAACGTGAGTTTGTCTGCGATCCGCACCGTCCGGGTACTTCGGCCGCTACGAGCCATTAACAGGGTCCCGAGTAAGTAACGCCTTCATCTGCACCGCAGCCATGCTGCCCACTCGGTAGTAGTCTGCTGTCCTGCTGCTGAGAGCAAGTTCCTTTATTTTGATTTTTAATGGCAAGTTAGAGATCACTTATTACGATTATCAGTGTTACCAAAGGGCGAGGGAGTAGATTTTATACCTGGATGGCCAAATTTTCGTGGCTGGTTTCCAACGTTATTGTGAACTCTCTGAGGCGAGTAACTCTCTGCTCCGAGTGTAAAGTAAATAACAAAGTTCTCATAAAGAGAGGGGAAAGGTCAGTTCTAAGAAGGATCTTCTTGCCCTGGCTGGGTTCATTTTGCCCTCTCCGCTATTTAAGGTCTTTCCATTTCTTTGTGTTCAGGATTAGAAGCACAGCAGCCTCCGTTGCTGGTAAAATACCCCGGAGGGTTTGCTGTCATGTAGAACAAAATTGGGTTCATCCACGATAGGGAGTTCAAGTGGCCCCGAAATCCATTTTCAAGTGGCTTCAGCTGCTTGTCTTCTAAATCCAATTTGAAAGACGAACCAACAAGTTGAAATCATTTCCTGCCAGAGTCAGCCGTCTGCTGAGCGATCCTTTGCAAGGTACTAATTTCATAGCGCTTTCACCATGTTTTAACCAAAATCCACTCCATTCAAAAGGCAGCGGCATTGTATGGAAATCATAGAGGTTCCTTGCAAAAAAACTACATTTCCTGTGCTTTTTACGAGCACATTTGAATGACACAGCCGCACCAGTCCTCGCTGAACATCCTGCCGAAATTAATTGCCCGTTGTGTCAGCACATCTAGGGACAGCCAAACAAACTCCCCCGGAAGGGTTTCGGTTCCAGCACCTCCAACGAACACGCAGGGGAACAGATGGGCGTTTACGCAGAGGAGCCTTTGAAATTTCTCTCTGAGCTCAAATTCTTCAGGATTTTTCTTTATGAAAAAATAAATCTGTAAATTCGACAGTGAAGTTAAAAACAAAGAGAAACGAGAGGCTAAAAGGGACCGTGAAACCCTCTGGAGGTTTGTTTTCCTAATGAGGTTTTGTTACAAGGGTTTCGGAGCAGCCCGCAAGCACAACAGAGTTTTCCTCCGGGATTCTCAGCCTGGTGGCTCCGTGGCCTCGCTGGGACGGGACGGAGCGGAGGGACACTGGCACGTGCTGGGCTCGGAGCCCCGCCGAGGTTTCAGGGTGGGGCGAGGATCAGGCTCGCTCTGAAGATGTTGAAATCCACGAAGCCCTTCGTAGCTCTGCCTTGGACTGGTGGGAGTCTCAAGCTGGGATTCAACTGGGGTGAGAGCAGAAGCCGGGGGAATTTGAGGATTTACGTGCCTATGAAATGGAGGCCCGGGGATCCAAACACCTCCAAGTCCAGCTGAAATCTTGATCCAGGTCCAGCTTGTGTTCTTCTTCCTTAGGAGTCTGATATTGAAGCTTTGAAGTAAGCCTTTTAGGCTGTCTTCTGCTACACGTGCCACTTCGATTTTACATAGATTTTTCAGAAGATGGGCAATAGAAAATCTTCAGGTTTTTGTAAATAGTGCGTGAGATTAAATCCAAAGATCTCAATCCATGTTTGGAGTTGAGCTGCCTGGCTTGAGGAGCACCTAGGCTGGTCTCACAACACTCGCAGTGTCTTCAGCAAGTGCCAGGGCAGGAGTAGCATTCTTAGAAATGTTGCAGTTCCTGGAGGGCAGAGAATCACAGATTTTACTTGTTTATGAGGCACTAACTCCATCCACTTTTAACATCGGTACTTCTACTGTTTCAGACTGATATAATCGAGGGTCTGTGGAGAATAGATAGCGACAACCCTCTATTTTGTTGTATTTTTGCAGGTTCTGGTAATAACAGAGTTACATTTCTAGTCTTTCATCCATGGGGATGCTACAGCTTGGCCGGGCGCTTCCCTCCGATGCCCACTTCCGATCTGTCAGAGGAGAGGAGCCGTGTGCTCAGTCGCTGCGCAGGGCAAGCAGGGGCCCATGAGAAACAGCCTGGCGATTCATCCCTGTGATGCCTGGGCACTTTCCTGGGCTCCCGCCAGCGCTATTAGCTCTTCGCTTCCAGGCACAATAAATGCACCCGCAAGATTATTTCAGTTTTGTTTTATTTGTTAAGAAAAGAAAGGAGAACCCCAGCCAATAAAAACATTATCTCTAATAGAAATTATTCCTTGGAAATGACTGGAAAATCTAATTCCTGCAAGTTGTATGTTTGGCAGGGGCTGTAGTTAGGGTGGTTTTTTTTAGTAGTGGTCAATGTTTTTTCAAATCCATTTCCCTGCTTTATTTTTATTTTTTCTACTATGTGGTTCAAATCAGGCGTCACATGGAATGGGAATGAAGAGAAAGCCTGATCCTCGTTTCAGCCTAACCGATGCTCGTGCTCTTTTCCCATGGCACACTTGACTTTCTGCTGAGAGCCCACAGCACCCTTGGCGGATGGCGAACAGATGGATTCAATCTCAAGAACGGTGCCACTAAACAGCCCAAAATACCAAAAGTAGCTGAGCAGAAGAAGGTTGTCTGGTATAGGCAGATAAATTTTAACCATTTTTGGGGAAAAGAAGGCGAGGATATTACTGAGAGTAGGGGGAAAAAACAGCAGAAAAGCCCAGCATCCTCTTGCCAGTGGGAATTGGTGAACATTTTCTGCTTTTCCAAGGATAGATTTGCAAGGAGGGTTGGAAGGGCAGTGCTGTGGGACGTGCTCCTGGGTTCCTTACGATGACAGCACACATTGGGAGCAAGCGTTACGAAATCCAACCCCCCTTTGCTTCCAGCTCTGGGTTTCCCCCTGTGCACGGAGCGGAGGCCGGTGCTGTCCCCGCGGCTGGCACCGGCGTTGCGGTTACAGGGGATGGCAGGGATGCTGGCGGGCATCCCGCGGCGCTCACCGACGCAGCGTGGCTGTCAGCGCCCCGTCCCGTCCCCGCGGGGGGCCTTG